ATGATGATGATGATGATGATGATGATGATGATGATGATGATGATGATGATGATGATGATGATGGTTAGTGGAGGCCTTTCTCAACAATAGTGATAGTCGTTTACTGACTGTTACTGGTCATGGGGGTTACACCCTAGCTATGCCGCCTTCGACGTGCCGAGCTTAGCCGTCGCGCCGTGACTTCGGTCCATGAGAGCTTCAGCAGCCCAGCAGGTCGGTGGGTCAGGTCACCCGACGCCCTTCGACGATCCCAGGCCTTCCGGGTACCCCAGGTGTTGCGGGTCCTAGTTCAGGTCACTTAACCTCTGTTGGAGGGGTCATGTAGACTCTCTCTCTCTCTCTCTCTCTGGCGAGTCTGGCTGTGGCCGTCCCACGACACTCGGCTGGTGGTCATGTAGACTCTTGATGGATCAAAACTCATTTGGATGGTAAGACCATGGTAAAAGCCTCATCATGGGTGGTTGAAACGTAAAAAGAAACGGTGTGACCAGGTCTCCCCATTGCGGACACAAAAAGCTACAGTTCCCTGGAACGTGTCTTCTTCTCTTCTTCCCAAAGGGTGATGATCTGACAAATCCGAGAAGTTCCAACAGAGGTTGACCTGAACTAGGACCCTACTGGGGTACCTGTAGGATAGTCTATAGGGTTCTTCAACCTCTGCCGGTTCAGGAATGTCCTTCACTTCGGTGGTTCCCAATTAAGTCCAACTGGACGAAAAGAAAGGTCCAGTTCGACTGCGCCGGTGACTGAATGGTCATACCTGGATGCTACTGTTCTGGGGTGTCCTGTCTGGAGATGCGTAGCGCAGGGGCTTCCATTCTTGAGCCTGCAAGGAATGTGCTGGTCCAAAAAACTGCATCACTGCACCGAAAAACGGCAACACTGGCACTCGAACCGCGACACATCACGATGTGTTGCTTCTGTCGTCCCCCAAACGGCCAGAAGAACCCAAATGACTCTGTGCCATTCTGGTTTCTCCCATCTACACCCTAGACTTTAAACATGGTTGACCGGGTTTTGTAGTGCAAAATCCTCAGTAAAACAGCTCGGTTATTCAGGATTCCAGCCTGTGAACAAATTTCATGGTGGGCCATCGGAATCCTCGGGTAACTCCGGCCCACTCTCCTGGACTTGCAGCCAAAGCTCCCAACAAATGCGGAAGGTGCTCTCTGGGTTCAAAGGCCTGAAGTGAAGGGCGGAAGCGCTGGGTCTATGATGGTCCAGCCCAAGGAGTGGAGTTTGAGTGGAGTTTTTGGACACCAAAGTGTCTCCCCAAAAGAGGAATCAATATGATTTGAGTGTTTTCAAAAGGTCTGCCATGGTTGTACCTGGAATAAGCCTATACGTAACACAAAAGCAGGGTCATGCACAGGGGTCACAAAAGGGTGGTGTTTAGTCCCTAAGTGAGTGGATAATGGGCACCCCTAACCTCCATTAAGCACCCCTTTGTGACTGCTGGAATATGTTTTTCAGGCCTTTGATTTGAGCAACTCAGGCGGATTTTTGATCTTCAGCCCTCTGGCATCCTTTGACGTCCTTTGGCTCCAAACGCGGCACGTTAGGTTGGTGTCAACGCGAAACCATCGACATGCAGGCTTTGGCCTGTTGCGACCCTTCATTTAAAGAAACATGACCCCTTCAACCATGAGTTCGGCCGCGGGAACCTTGCCTGGAGAGGAAGGGAAGAGATTCAAGCCTTCTGGCAATCTCCCCCTCAGACTTCGTCTTCGACATCGTCCGATTCAGAAGGGACTTCCTGCGCCGCCGTGTTGTTCAGCAGTGAACGAGGCGGGCGCATGCGGCGCGCGGTGGCGCCGGCCGTCGCCCCACTGCCTACCCGCGTTCCCATGGGCTGGGGCAGCTGTGCTTGGAGAAGGTGGATGAAGTGATAAAGACATCAGCACCTCTACAGCCTTCAAGCAGCTCCCAAAAACAATTGCCAACCGCTGGAAAGGTAGACTTGACATGACTTGACCACCTGTGGATCTTCCTATCATATTGCCCCTCAACGCTCCAAAATTGCCACCCAGGCACCTCATACTTTCCAACTTCTGCACTTCTATTGTCTTCTCACGGGCTCGCTGCTGTGAAGCCCACGTCCACGCCATCCCCCTGCACAGTAAGCCCCCCCATCTCCCCCCCTTCACTCCACGCGCTTGCGCTTGCTTGCGCGCGCCGCGGACCGCGCGCCGCGGACCGCGGAGGAGACTCCTGATGTCTCCAAAGCCGATCGCGCGGGTGAAGAAGGCGCAATGCGTCGAAAGCTGCATCCATCGACCCCTTAAGCGATACACCGTGTCGCTCTCATGGCGGGTACTCCGGCCTTGGGCATGGGGCTGAGGCCCGGTCCGGCCACGTGCGGCGTTCAAGGACGGAGATTCCAGCTTGGAGTTGCTTCAGGAACCGGAGAAAAAAAGCAAAAGCATCTTCCCTAAGCCGCATGATGCCGCATGCCAGGGGATTCACGCATAGGATCACTTTTCAACATCACTGAGAAAGCCAAACTGGCGGCCAGAACTACTCCACACTTTGGTCCACACTCAGCGACTGAAGTTTGAACCGCAGTCGACGGACCCCTAGGTCTGGGGAAGTTCCGTGAGGTGCTAGGAGCCTGAAAAACTTCGTGTCTTGGCAGTGTCCACGAGAGGTAGCCAGTGACCGGGACCATAGGACCCTGTCACCTGGGCCACCCAACTGGGATAGTCTATAGTCGACATAGGGTTCTTCAACCTCTGTTTAATTCAGTGCAGTAGGAGAATTGAAGCCTCCAAGCCCTCACCAAGCCCTCCAGGCTGCCACAGACCCGGAAGACTCCCTACAGACCCTAAGGCCGCCCTACCGCTCCCCCCCGCCCCACCGCGCCCGCGCAGTCGCTCCCTCGCCCAAGGACGTACGGCCGCCGAGGCATAGCGGGTTTCATCATGGGCATCAGCCTGGGTGGAGCGAGACTGGCGCCCGACTGACGGTGACACGGGCAAAAGACTGATCAAACCAACCTCCCAAGACCGTGAAATAGATCAGACCAACCTCCCAAGACATTGAAATAGAATGGACCAACCTCCGAACACCGTGAAATAGAATGGACCAACCTCCCAAGACCGTGAAATAGATCAGACCAACCTCCCAAGACCGTGAAATAGATCAGACCAACCTCCCAAGACCGTGAAATAGAATGGACCAACCTCCCAAGACCGTGAAATAGAATGAACCAACCTCCCAAGACCGTGAAATAGAATGAACCAACCTCCCAAGACCGTAAAATAGAATAGACCAACCTCCCAAGACCGTGAAGTGATATCTTTTTAATGGGACCCCCCTGGAAGAGAAAGTCCTTTGCCTTCCCATGTGTTCATGTTGAGCGTGGACACCCATTCCCGCAAAAGGTTAATGGTTATCAACTGACTGGGTGGGTTTGGGTTGGGGTTTTGTCAAGCATGGACGCCCCTCGTGCTGCCCGTCTAGCCGCCCTTGTGGCTTGTTCGATCATCGCATCAAGCTCAGTCCATCTTCAGGTTCCAGTTACAGAAGGCTGCAGTCTTTGGGTAACTCCTTAAGGGCATCATATTTACTTAAAACAGCCCAAGTGTAGTCTTCGCATTCCTGAAGATCATGTGAGGTTTAGGCTTGGTTACTCCCTCGTTCCTGTCATATCTTGGGCTCAACAAATCCTGTCCACATTCAACAATGGAGTCCCAAGGTGTTTTCAATTGAGATGCTTAAACAGTTAAACACCAAGCACTATGCCATGCAAGGGCACTTGAGCCAGCTGGGGCTGTGCCACTAAGTTGAGCCCTGCACTTGGGTGCATGTCTGAAACGCTGCCGTTAGCTAAGCCCCAAACGCTGCGAAGGTAGGGCCTCAAAGCGGGAGGCTCTTCTTCCAGCTCTGCCTGTGCGCGGCCATTCGGGCTCATCAGTGAGGGGGTCTCCGCCACGAGAAGCGTTAGAGCCACTCAAAGCATTTCGTACTAGCTGCTTCCTAAATCGGGGTCACATACTTATACTTATATTATATACTTATATATAGGTCTCCATTGGGCACCCATTGAAAGCGCTAGGTTAGATGGATGAATCCGTTCTTAAACTCTCAGGCTTCTCCTCAGCCAAAATGGAAGTGGATGGCATGGCCTGTTGAAAGACACTACAGTACCTTTTCCTCTTCTGTTGCGGGGCGAACTCCACTTCCATGAGGGCCTTGGAAGAGGGAGACCCTCCAACTCCCTCCAAGCGCTGGGTCTTCCTACGGCTCTGGAGGGGGTGTCTTCTAGATAATAGATGCCCACCTCTATTTCAGATGTTGGAGGGAAAGCATCGCATTCTGAGTCGCCCAGCTGCCTGCTTCGAACCCTGCTCCTTCTCGTCTTTGCTCGGGCCCAATGGGGGTGCCGAGTCTATCGGGCTGCTTGGGAGGCCATCCGGCAGCGTCAAGCGCAGGTGCGAGAGCTTGGCGTTGAGGCGAGCGAAGGCAGATTCCTAAGCATGACATGGCATCCGAGGACGAACTGCCAGGTTCTGCCAGGGTTCTGACAAGACGGACTACATGGTCACACAGTCACACATTCTGGGAGATCCAAGGACACACTTTCGCATACAAGTTCCACCAGGCTTCGAGGATCTTCAAATGGTATACCTATTCTGAAAAACAGGCTCTTGGCAACCTGCTTCCAAAGGAAATACAAAGGAACGTGACGAAAGAGAACACAAGAAAAAAGAGCGACTGGTTTTTGCAGCTACGAAGTCGGGCAAATCCAAGAAGCCATCTCCTGTTGCAATGAATCCAAGGCATCCATCGTGGCATGCTCAGCTCCACGTGTGCCTCGACCATTCTCACCGAACCACGCCATGGCACGAATGCTTTGTTCGCACGGGTGTGACCCTCTCGCCGGGCTCGATGCCACACTTCCACCTGTTCGCCTTTCTTGGGTGTTCCTCTTTGGGCAAGTGATTCACTATTCCTGATGTAGGTGGCGGTAGCCGTAAGTCAACACCCGAAGTCAACGGAGCTTGGCGAACTCGTGTGGGACCTGGCCGACCGAACGGGTCGGGCGAGGGGGTGGTTGAAGTCTGGCCACGAGCTTGGAGGGCTTTTCTGATCTGCTCAGGCAAGGGAAAAAGCACCAACAGGCTGGATTTTGGAGAAAAGACGGTCTGAGAATATGTGGACATACACCCCCTACTATGTCCACTCACTTCTCGATCTTGCAAACCGGTTCTCCGAGATCTTGCGAGCCAACTCCTCCGTGAGGCAACTGCAGCAGCAACAAGCTCAATAGAAATCCCATCTTTCCAAAGGCCCATCCAGCCTGCCTACGCTCAGTGACGCTCAATGCATTCTCCGGAGAATTCACAAGGATTGTGGCCTTCTATCTCACATTGTGGCCCTTCCGCTATAGTCAGTATGTATATATATATATGTACGTATTTAGAGCCCTTCAAAGGTGGCCTTGTGTTTAACTTCTCCTTGGGCTGGCGGTTGAGTTTTCTAAATGGCCTCATGTACAAGTCTGCTTCCGGTGTGCTGTTCTTCTCATTTCAACCCCCCAAGCGCACGTTAGCAGAAAACATCTCGCTTTGGGAGAGTTCCAAGTGCAAACTTGGTTGAAACTTACCCCCTCATTTTGCCTGGTTCATAAAGGTTAACCTTTTTCCATCAGTTCTATCTGGCACAAACCGCCGTGGACGGCACTTTCTTTGCTCCGCTGTCATCTTCACAAATGACCAAGGAAAGCCCTTGGTAAACGTTCGCATCATTTCTATTCATTTCTCATATTTCTCATGCCAGCTTTCGCTGAGCATGTCGAGCCCAAACAGGTGAAGGATCAACGCACTGAAGGAGATCGTTAAAGCAAGGACACTGAATGACTATGAATGACGTTGCTCATCCCTTCAATGCCCCCAAACCTGAATTGGTCAAGGGATTCAGCGAAGTCCCCCTGGTAGAGGATTTACGCAATGACTTCAGAGTACATGGCACAACGCCCCAAAGATCATTTGTACACATTTGGACCATTTAAAACAGGGAATCGTTTGATTTTGCATGATTTTGCTGGCTTTGTGCCATCTCTGAATGTCCACCGTACCAGTGGGTGCATGTGAAACAGACTCTGAGGAGATTGCTGGATTTCTTCGGTTTCGCGAGCCTTCAGGGATTCCGCTGGACCGAGTGGGTTCGGAATAGCTGGCCTTCACCCTTCTGACACGAAGCTATGGGCATAGCCCATGATGGGTGGCTGCTAGCGACCACCCTTTACCGGCTGTTCGCTGATGGGACACGCCCTAGCTATTGGATGCTCTTGGTGCATCTGTTCTTTCTGCCACTCAGGGGGGGATGGGTCAGCTTGAACCAGTGCTTCATGGATGGTTGAACCAGTGCTCCTCCGAAAGTCTCTCTGCATCGAAGGCGTATTCACTTCGAGCAGATGTCGACATCTGACGACGCGCGCCCGGTTACATTCCTTCCGCCGGTGGACCTTTCCACGGCCGCTACGCCCCGATGTGTTCTGCGCGACTCAAATGGAGAAAGTGGTGAACTGTTGAGGTGCCGCAGGCTTTTCCAGCTTCAGCAAGTGGGACTCAACGTATTGTTGACCTGACAAGCAAAAGAAAGGCTTGGTGGCTTCCCTCGGGTCCTGGGTGTGACTGAAGGTCCAGGGTGTGACTGAAGGAATCACCACATGTCTCCAAACTCTCCACCAAAAAGCCCTCCAGAAGGTGGTCTTTCCTCTTCCTCCTCCTCCTCCTACTCTACTTCTCTAAAGCGAGGACATCCAACCCACCCCAGCCTTGCCCGCCCCTCCCTTCTCCATCCCGCACATCAAATCACGCTGCCCAAGAGACGCTGCATCAAATCCCGCACGGAGTACGAGAGACTTTGGAGGTCGGAGTCTTGCTCATGAATGCGGCCCCAATTCCCTGCGGTCATCTCCAACTGAGCTCGACGCCCGGCAAATCCTCGCAGGCGGGGAGCGGAGCGGAGGTTTGGGCAGCGGGAGGGTGGCGCCCATAATCAGAGATCGGTGAAAAGAAGGACCACCAAATTGTCCATGACTTTGGGCAGTGTGTGTGTTTGAAAAATAGGGAGACCTCCCAAAGGCCCCCTGAAAGAAGAATAACAGATTATCGAAAGAAGATTTACAAACGCAAACCCATTGGTTGGGGTCTCCCGATTGAAATGCGCACCCATTCTTGCAGCAAAGTTCTGTTCTATTGGGGTATTTAGGTGGCACTGCAGTGCTGTGCCTTTGCATGCCTTTGCCCAACTTTGCAAACGCAGTTGGTCGAGCGAATTCACGTTTTGTAAATCCAATGTAAGGTCTTGTGGGACAGCAGCACGATCAACGGATCTATCACTTCGATGGAAAGCCCCCCTGCGTATCCCTGTGTGGTGGTGCAAGATTCTCTTTCGTGAACTGGAGAGAACATGCCTCTTAAGTCCCATGTGGTGATTTGGGACATTCTTCTTTGGGATTTGAGCCAGGTGCACTTTTGAGGCTACATGAGGGTTTACATTCTCCCCGTCCATCAAATGCCCACCTTTTCCAAGCCCCTCTACGTGCCAGGCCCAGCGATTCGGCAAGGCTCGAATCTTGCAGCGTGACACGCAGGTCTCAAATACGAAGTGGTTGTTCACCACACTAATGAACCTTGGGCGGCCAGCTGTGAACATCCAGAGAATGTTTTGCATTGTTCTGCTCAGCCCATTCAGGGGAGAACAAAGGAATGTTCAACATCTGGGCTGAAGCAGATATCTGAGGCATTCCTGAAATCTCTATCTCGCCCTGGCTGATCATCACATCTCACTTCAGAAGGGTGCGGTTTTTAGCCAAACATTGGGCCACACTCTTCTTCCAACTCAGCCCAACTCGGAGAAGGCGCAGTTGAAGCAGCCGGCACGAGTGTCGTGTCCCCCAAACACCTAGGATTCCACCCACACATTAGTTTAACAGGCCGAATCCCAAACAACCATGGTTTTACGAACGATCTTACACAACAAAACCAGGTCAACCATATTTTAAAGGGTCCAACCGAAGTCTACCTAGAGGGTCATCCTGATCCTTTTTGTCCACCCATTCCCATTCCGGGCCGCTTTTTGGTTTTTGTTTTTTTTGGGTTCGGGCCCAGCCTTTGCGAAGGTGTCGCCCCCCAAGGATTCCGATAGAATGATCACTTGCGCCAAACACAAGGACCGTCCGTGACCGCGACAGGAAAGTCACGTCCACGCCACCCACTCTGCGGAACCGGCATCCGGAACCGGCCACCACGCCCGAAAGGGAACAAAGGCCCGGGAAGCTCTTCTGGTGGCCCAGCGGCTCGCTCATGTCTGAAAGATCTACTTGGATCACTTTGGCATCCTGCAAGTCTGGGTTCATGGCCAAGGCCGGCTGCAAGGTGTGCAAGAGCCTCACAGGCGCATCCGGAATGCGGACTTGGGGTAACGAATCCACCAGAACGCGGAGGCTATGGGGAGTGGCCGAGGCGATCGCAAAGCAATGGCAAAATACGATTGAACTCGTCAAGCAGTCTTCCATCAGGTTGTATTGAATGGAAGAGCCAAGGTGCTAGGCGGGATGATGAAGACATAACCCTAAAGTCCAGGGCTACTATCTTTTGCCTCACCTGAAGTAAAGGACATTCCTAAAAGCGGGTCACCCACAAACCATTTTAATCATAGTCCTTGACTTCCAGGCATGGTCGGCCTTGACCTGGTCGAACCCCGTCGTGAGTCGCACGGGGCGAGCGCCAGAGCGCCAGCTTGTCATAGATCTTTCTGGGGTCAGCGACATCGAAAGTCATAGAACTGGATCACAGGAGAAATCACCCAAACTGTATACCTATATAAGCCTATACCCTAGAAGTCCAGTTCGGTCCTATATGTTGACCGGCTGAAGGTTTCAGGAAGTTCCCAGACTCCGTTCCCAACCGTGACTTCTTCCATCCCAACTTCTTCTCCCAGTGGCTGAAGAATGAAGAGTGTCCGTTCCCGTTCCCAACTTGTTCTCCCAGACTCCGTGGACTAGACCTCGGACCTCTGGTGGACACCCATCACCAGTCTACCCAGCCAGGGGGCGATCGGAGACCGGACACAGAACGGACCTCCACACCGCGCGACCAAGAGGCTCTTCCAAGATTTCGAGCAGACCGGTCAAGGTGACCACCGGGTTTTTGACGGCATTGGCCACGCAGTCTGGCAGGAACTCGAACACCACGGCGGTTTCTTCAATGCCGTCTGCCAAGAAGTGATTCGTCAGGGCTCTCTTCTCCTGCCGGCTTCTGCGGCTTCTGCGGCGCAACTGATTCCAAGGCTCATTTTTTCTGCAACCGTGCCTAGGTGCAGGACACTTCTTTTCCAGAGCCGGAGGGGGGGGTGCACCAACTACCAGTTGTCCATCAAGGCTGGGCCTGAAAGACGTGTTTTTTTTTTCTTGGTCACAAAGGAAAGGTAGGCAACAACTTGTAGGGGTGCCCGATGACAGCCCATCCACTCGAATTCCCTTGCATGGCCCTTGTTGGCACTTTTGGTTCAGCACATTTTGCCCATCCTCCCTCAAGGGGCAAAAGTTGTATGGGCTCATCTTCCCGCCCTTTGGCTTGTCCCTTAAGCCTGGTCAGGCTTGTTGACCAGGGCTCAAAAACCTCGAGCCTCTTGAGGCTTGGATTTTTTTTGGTCAGGAACTGGGGAAACACCCAGTTCCTCTTCCCCACACCATCCGGGGAATTCACTCAGTTCAATCAACATCCACCAAACCGCCAGAAACGAGGTGAACGCCGATGTATACCGAATCAATTCAACACCGGATCGTCCAAGAGGCACCGAATCGGAGAATCCGGAACGAAGAGATGTGGTCGAGTCCGCCCCTCGCGCGGGGTCTGAGGCTCCTGATCTCCGAGGCGATTCCACGCCGTCTTCAGCTCCTCATAGCAGTTGTCCTGAGGGACCATCACGACCCATCAGGACCCA